CCGGAAGTGCACTCTGGGCGGTTCAGCACGGTCGAAGCCGAGGCAAGGCCAAGGTTGAAGCAATCAGCAACGTCTCTCCAGTCGCCTCGTCCCTCGGAAATGTGTGCTCTGTTGAGGTGCCGGCCCGGCCTCACAGTGTCGAGATGGGTAGTTGTGGGCATCCCTCGGACGTGCCGAGGCTTCTCGTGTGGACCGTTCTGCACGGAAGGATGTGGCGCTAGGTGTTGCCTTAATGGGCATAGCCGTAGCACGAAGGGGCAAGTGTCCAAGCATCCGGAAGTGCACTTTTGGCGGTTGAACATGGTTGAGGCCATGGCGCGGTAGTGGTTGAGGCCATCAGCATCGTCTCTGCAGTCGCCTCGTCCCTCGGAAATGTGTGCTCTGTTGAGGTGCCGGCCTGGCCTCACAGTGCCGAGATGGGTAGTTGTGGGCATCCCTCGGACGTGCCGAGGCTTCTCGTGTGACCCGTTCTGCACGGAAGGATGTGGCGCTAGGTGTTGCTCTAATGGGCATGGCCGTAGCACGAAGGGGCAAGTTTCCAAGCATCCGGAAGTGCACTTTTGGCGGTTGAACATGGTTGAGGCCATGGCGCGTTTGTGGTTGAGGCCATCAGCAACGTGTCCCCTGTTGCCTGTCCCTCGGAAAAGTGTGCGCTGTTGAGGTGCCTGCCTGGCCTCACAGTGCCGAGATGGGTTGTTGCGGATACCTCGGAATTGTCGTGTGTTCATGTGTGGCCTGATCTGCACGGATGGTTTTGGTAATATCTTCAGGCACGAAGGGTCAAGTTCCCAAGCATCCGGAAGTGCACCCTGGGCGGTTCAACACGGTTGGAGCCATGGGGCGGTCGTGGTCGAATCAATCAACAATGTTTCTCCTGTCGCCTTGTCCCTCGGGAAAGTGTTCTGTTGAGGTGCCGGCCTGGCCTCACAGTGCAGAGTTGGTTTGTTGCGGGGATCCCTCGGAATTGTCGTGGCTTCTACTGTGGCCCGTTCTGCACGGAAGGTTGTGGTGCTCGGTGAACCCTTCATGGGCGTAGCCGCAGCACCATGGGTCAAGTTCCCAATCATCCGGAAGTGCACCCTGGGCTGTTCAACACGGTTGGAGCCATGGGGCGGACGTGGTCGAATCAATCAGCAATGTTTCTCCTGTCGCCTTGTCCCTCGGAAAAGTGTTCTGTCGAGGTGCCGGCCTGGCCTCACAGTGCAGGGTTGGTTTGTTGCGGGGATCCCTCGGAATTGTCGTTGCTTCTACCGAGGCCCGTTGTTCACGGAAGGTTGTGGTGCTCGGTGAACCCTTCTTGGGCGTATCCGCAGCACCATGCATGGGTCAAGTTCCCAAGCATCCGGAAGTGCACCCTGGGCTGTTCAACACGGTTGGAGCCATGGGGCGGTCGTGGTCGAATCAATCAGCAATGTTTCTCCTGTCGCCTTGTCCCTCGGGAAAGTGTTCTGTTGAGGTGCCGGCCTGGCCTCACAGTGCAGAGTTGGTTTGTTGCGGGGATCCCTCGGAATTGTCGTGCCTTCTACTGTGGCACGTTCTGCACGGAAGGTTGTGGTGCTCGGTGAACCCTTCATGGGCATATATGCAGAGCACGAAGGGGCGTAAGTCCCATAATCTGGTAGTGTGTTGTGGGTGGTTCCCATGGCGGAAGCGAGGGTCTTGATTGTGGCCTCTCAGTGCAGGTTTGGTTAAAGATAAGGGCATGTGACACTGTGTTGCTTGTTGGCTTGTGACTCTTAGAAGTGTGTTGGGGGGTCTGATCTGGCTCACCCTTCAGAGTTTAGGAATTCACGCAGTCCCTTATTCATGTGTTGCATCTGGAATCACTTGCCTCATCAAGATTGATATCTTGAATTTTTGGTTTTCCACTTTGCTCTTCGAGGGTTGTGGATCCGCAACTTGTGTGTGCGATTAGTCGAATTGGTGCAAAGTCCACGATACACACATAGTCCCTTATTCATGTGGTGCGTGGCCTAGCCTATGGCACACTCACCCAAGCCATGGCACGTGTGTCCGTCAGGGCATCATGGATTGTGCCGCACGTCGGTTGAAAATCATTTGAGGTAAATGCCTCGACCTTACATGGACGTAACTCTGGGAAATGTTTATGAATAATATTCCTGGAACTCCTGCAATAGAACAGCTCAAGAAACATGGTCCACACCCATTTTCTAATTTTCGGGAATGACATAAAGCTCGTCGGCTAGGAAAATCATGAAAAAGTATCGGCTCGGAGAAAAATCGTGAAACTTTTGTGACCACTTGCTCCCACTTTTTATAAGCACTTGTGCTAAAGCAGGTCAAATTCGACCCGTACCTCACAAAAACCGGTATGTCTCCCCAAGAAAAGGATGTCGGTCTGGAGAGCGGGTTTTTGCATATTAGCCTACTATAGGGGGGACTGCCCTGCCTGCCCACGCACCTTGGTGGGGTCAGATGGCGTGCATGGGCCTCCTCCAGCGCCCCAGCAGCTTTCCCAGCATGCTGGTGCGTTTTTTCCTGGCGATGTTTGGGAAATTCCGACCGAGTCAAAATAGTCCTGCCGAATCCAGGTCGTACTGTCCCGGTTCTGGCTGGTCCAACGGAAAAATGGTGGTCATCTCGGTAGTGAGCTTATCCGGCACTCGACCAAAGGGACGAAGGCATCAAGATTTTTGACTGGACCTTGAGGAACAAGCAAAGAACTTGCTGCACGCCAAATGTGTCTGGTGCCGGATAAGCTCACTACGAGATGCCCACATTTTTCCGTTGGACCAGCCAGAACCGGGACACGTACGACCTGGATTCGGCATGGACTATTTTTGACTCGGTCGAATTTCCCACATCGCCATGGAAAAACGCACCAGCATGCTTGGGAAAGCTTGCTGGGGCGCTGGGAGGGAGCCCCATGGCACGCCATCCTGACCCACCAAGGTGCGTGGGCAGGCAGGCAGCTCCCCCCTATAGTAGGCTAATATGCAAAAACCCGCTCTCCAGCACCGGACATCCTTTTTTCTGGGGAGACATACTCGGTTTTTTTGAGGCTACGGGTCGAAGTTTGACCTGATTTTTAGCACAAGTGCTTATAAAAAGTGGGAGCAAGTGGTCCACAAAGTTTCACGATTTTTCTCCGAGCCGATACTTTTTCATGATTTTCCTAGCCGACGAGCTTTATGTCATTCCCGAAAATTAGAAAATGGGTGTGGACCATGTTTCTTGAGCTGTTCTATTGCAGGAGTTCCAGGAATATTATTCATAAACATTTCCCAGAGTTACGTCCATGTAAGGTCGAGGCATTTACCTCAAATGATTTTCAACCGACGTGCGGCACAATCCATGATGCCCTGACGGACACACGTGCCATGGCTTGGGTGAGTGTGCCATAGGCTAGGCCACGCACCACATGAATAAGGGACTATGTGTGTATCGTGGACTTTGCACCAATTCGACTAATCGCACACACAAGTTGCGGATCCACAACCCTCGAAGAGCAAAGTGGAAAACCAAAAATTCAAGATATCAATCTTGATGAGGCAAGTGATTCCAGATGCAACACATGAATAAGGGACTGCGTGAATTCCTAAACTCTGAAGGGTGAGCCAGATCAGACCCCCCAACACACTTCTAAGAGTCACAAGCCAACAAGCAACACAGTGTCACATGCCCTTATCTTTAACCAAACCTGCACTGAGAGGCCACAATCAAGACCCTCGCTTCCGCCATGGGAACCACCCACAACACACTACCAGATTATGGGACTTACGCCCCTTCGTGCTCTGCATATATGCCCATGAAGGGTTCACCGAGCACCACAACCTTCCGTGCAGAACGTGCCACAGTAGAAGGCACGACAATTCCGAGGGATCCCCGCAACAAACCAACTCTGCACTGTGAGGCCAGGCCGGCACCTCAACAGAACACTTTCCCGAGGGACAAGGCGACAGGAGAAACATTGCTGATTGATTCGACCACGACCGCCCCATGGCTCCAACCGTGTTGAACAGCCCAGGGTGCACTTCCGGATGCTTGGGAACTTGACCCATGCATGGTGCTGCGGATACGCCCAAGAAGGGTTCACCGAGCACCACAACCTTCCGTGAACAACGGGCCTCGGTAGAAGCAACGACAATTCCGAGGGATCCCCGCAACAAACCAACCCTGCACTGTGAGGCCAGGCCGGCACCTCGACAGAACACTTTTCCGAGGGACAAGGCGACAGGAGAAACATTGCTGATTGATTCGACCACGTCCGCCCCATGGCTCCAACCGTGTTGAACAGCCCAGGGTGCACTTCCGGATGATTGGGAACTTGACCCATGGTGCTGCGGCTACGCCCATGAAGGGTTCACCGAGCACCACAACCTTCCGTGCAGAACGGGCCACAGTAGAAGCCACGACAATTCCGAGGGATCCCCGCAACAAACCAACTCTGCACTGTGAGGCCAGGCCGGCACCTCAACAGAACACTTTCCCGAGGGACAAGGCGACAGGAGAAACATTGTTGATTGATTCGACCACGACCGCCCCATGGCTCCAACCGTGTTGAACCGCCCAGGGTGCACTTCCGGATGCTTGGGAACTTGACCCTTCGTGCCTGAAGATATTACCAAAACCATCCGTGCAGATCAGGCCACACATGAACACACGACAATTCCGAGGTATCCGCAACAACCCATCTCGGCACTGTGAGGCCAGGCAGGCACCTCAACAGCGCACACTTTTCCGAGGGACAGGCAACAGGGGACACGTTGCTGATGGCCTCAACCACAAACGCGCCATGGCCTCAACCATGTTCAACCGCCAAAAGTGCACTTCCGGATGCTTGGAAACTTGCCCCTTCGTGCTACGGCCATGCCCATTAGAGCAACACCTAGCGCCACATCCTTCCGTGCAGAACGGGTCACACGAGAAGCCTCGGCACGTCCGAGGGATGCCCACAACTACCCATCTCGGCACTGTGAGGCCAGGCCGGCACCTCAACAGAGCACACATTTCCGAGGGACGAGGCGACTGCAGAGACG